GGGAAAAATGCTCATGCTAGATTTGATGAAACAGGATTCATGCTGTATTACCCTGGGCAAGTAATTTAACCCTTTAAGGCTCAACTTCCTGCTCTGTAAAATGGCAACAACACAGTCTACTACATAAGACTTGTGAGGTCTAAGAAATAATGTCTACAAAGTGCCTGGTATAATACTGGCTCGCTGTATCGCTCAGGGTCCAACCACACAAACAGGAACCACTCTAAGAATGTAAAAACAGAGAATTTAATGCAGGGGATTGGTGACACGGGTGATGGAAGGGCTGAGAAACCCAACAGCAGACAATGAGGCAACCCAGAGATTAGCAAAAACCAGAAGCTGCCCACACTCCTAACACTGGAGGGACAAACAGAGGAGATGGAATTAGTGGAGGCTGGCGGGGAGGACCACCATGGGAAGTTGGAACCACAGCAGCCTATCCAGTAGGAGGTGGCGCCACAGGGGAGCCTCGCCTGCTGCTGGAGACCTGCCAGAGCCCGAGCAAGAGAGAGAAAGAGAAGAAATAACCTGGCTTTTTCATACCTCCTAACTTCCAGTCTCCTGCCACTGTCTCCCATTGGCCAAACCGAGCCTGAAAGGCAGCTGTCCTGGAAGCCTGAGAAACTGCACCCTGTAAGGCAATACAGAGCAGAGCAGAAGCGCAAGGAAGGGATCTGTAGCAAAAGGGTAGAGAACAACCATTAGATAGAAATAGGTTAAACAGGCTTGGTAATACCTTTGTAAAACCTTTAAAGTACTGGATACACGTGAAAGTAACAAAATCATTCACTTAAAACCATACTGTAGTCCACATAAACTAGTTCACATCCCCCCTCCCACCCCAACCTACTACATTATTCTGATTACTACTGTGTCTGGTCTAATACGGTGGCATTTTAAGACGGATTTTCAGTGTCAGGCATGTTCTCCACTGAAATTTCATGAGGGCTTCTACAGCAGAGGGAGATGCCCATTCTATGTCACAGAGGTCAAAGCTCAGCCACAATAGAATTATGCAGCAGCTTCATGGCAACTGGACGCTGGTCTTGGAGCTCTCAAGGACTTCTGCGTGACCTGTGGGGAGGGTCACAATCTCTGGACTCACTTTTTAAAAAATGTGAATCACAACCCTCGGGGTGGTTTACGCGCGCCCACAACACTCCACTTGGCTCTTCTTCTTTCCATTCCCTTGTCCAGAAGGCTCCACAGTGTTTTTTGAAATAAAGAATGAAAATGTCTAAGAAAACAGATAACGTACCCAAGATCACAGAGCTAGCAAATCGGAAGGAATTCATTCTCTACTCTTCCCACGCCAAGGCGCTTTCCGCTCCCCCACCGGTTCTTTTCGCTCCCCGGACATCCTCTTGCGGAGGAAGACTTGTTCAGGGAAAGGCAAGAGAGACCCCGCTCAAAATCCTGGGGCACTTGGTAGCGCTCTTCGTGCAGCCAACGCGCCCAACTGGCGTCTCAATAAACGGCGACCCGCCAGGCTCGGCCGGCCGGCTCAGGACGCTCCCGGCTCGGGGGAGCTCAAGGTCCTCTCCCGCGGCCCCGAGACGCCCAGCCCCGCTCCGGGGGACAGCCGGAAGCAAGCTGCCCTGCCCGCCCCCTGCGGGTCGCGGGGTTTCTAACGGAGCCGCGTGCCCGGGGCGGGGCCACGCGCGATTGGCCGCTCGGAGTCGGGGGCGGGCCCGCAGCGGGCCGGCCGGGCGGGCGCCGACAATGAGCCTCCATAAAAGGGAGCGGCGGGGGGCTAGAGCCCCGGATTGAGCCCTCCCCGCCCGGGGTCCCGACGCTCTAGGTCTCGGGGAGGCCCAGACGCGCCCGTCGCAGGCCGGGCAGGCGAGCGGCGGGGGGCGGGGGGGGGTCGCAGGCCGGGCAGGCGAGCGGCGGGCGGCGGGCGGCGGGGAGGGGGCTGCACGGGGCGGGAGGCGGCCGCCGGCTTGCGCGCAGGCCTGCGCGCCAGTCCTTCGGCGTCCGGTCACCGAGTACCCCCCCGGCCGCGCCATGGCCCTGAAGGCCGAGGGCGCCGCGCTCGACTGCTTCGAGGTGACCCTCAAATGCGAGGAAGGGGAGGACGACGAGGAGGCCATGGTGGTGGCCGTAATCCCGCGGCCCGAGCCGATGCTCAGAGGTGAGAATGTGAGGGGAATCCCACTTCCGCGTCACGGTCCGGGGCTCGGGCTTCCCCCCCACACCAGTCGGGGGTCTGGGTCCCAAGCGCCCCCACTCCACTCCGGCCTGGTGCCCAGGCGCCCCCTTCCCCCTTCTGTCTGAGGTACTGGCGCTCTCTTGTTCCACCCCCAGCGGGGTTTGGAATCTCAGGCCTCCCCGAATTCCCCCTCCCCCGCCCCCGCCCAGGGTCTGGAGCCTTCGATCCACGCCCCGCGAGCTCCGGATCTTCCGGTGCCCGAGCGCTCCCCCCACCACCGTGGAGGCAGAGGCAGGCCCAGGGGCCAGGCCGTGTTCTCGGCCGAGGGCCGAGGGGTGGCAGGGCCTCCACGCCGGAGCTAGGGGCCCCTCACCTTGGTGTCCGGAGTGATTCGGTGGGTGGAGGCAGGCGCCGCTGCAGCCCGCCAAAAGGTGTATTTTAAGGGCGCTCCGTGCAGAAAGCTTTCCTACGCCCCCCTCACCATCCCTGGGCCTTACACTTGCATAAGCCACAGGTGTCAGATTCTCGCGCTGCAAGGGTGAAAGGGGTTGCATAGGACACCTAGTTTTGGAAAAGGAGTGCTTGCTGCGGGCGCCCTCAGCCACTCTAGAAGGGGATTGGCCTCAGGAAGGGGTTTGAGGAGCAGTCTGGGAGCACTCGCTTTCTCCACCTCCCTCACCGATTTCTCCAGTCCTCAGGATCTTGCAAACCCTAAGAAAACAACGAGCCACCTTAGTGGAAGACACACTCTTCACGAAAATGCAAAATCTTTTCATTCCTAGATACCCTGTCCCTCAGGGGGACAGTACCCAAAAGGTTGAGAGCAAGGCCATTCATTTAGCCTCAGCAGGACATGGTGATGTCTCCCTGCACTGCCTCTCCTTTTTGGAATCAAGAGTGCTATAAAATGAGGGAAATAAAGGCCACTACCCTTCTCAGAGCTTTCAATCCAAAAGAGAGGTTCTTTCTGTACTTCCGCTAATATTTCTCGAGTGCTCAGTGCCAGGCTGTCTCAGTTAACCCTCTCAACAACCCTGCAAGAGCATCCTCCTTCCCCAGAGAAGTGAATTCATTCAACAAGTATGTGGGGGCACCTCTTATATGTCAGGCACTGTTTTAGGCTGGGCATGCTAATCGCTATAAAGAAAGTCGAAACTCTGCTCTTCTGAAACATATATGTAGATACTAACGACCAAAGATAAATGAAGATAAATAAATGTGTAGCATGTCAGGTGGTTCAGAGAACAGGAAATCAAAGTAAGGAGAAAAGAGTGAGGGTGTTTCATTTGGAATATGAAGTGGTCAAGAAAGCCTTCTCTAATAAGGTGAATTTTGAACACAGACCAAAGGAAGCGAGGGAGAGAACCCTGTAGATAATTGGAGGTTAAGAATTTTTGGCAGAGAGAATATTAAGTACAAAGGTCCTGAAGCAGAAGCTTCTTGAAAGATTTGGGGTGGGAAAGAAAAACAGACGAATTCAAGGTTTTGGCCTGAGCAACTGGAAGGATGGACTTCCCATTTGCCAAGATGGAAAGACTGGAGTGCAGGTCTGTGGGAGATGGGGAGTTAAGGTTTGAACATGGCAAGTTTGAGAAGTTTATGACACATTCAAGCACAGATGTCAGATGGTAAGTAAGGCATGTGAATCTAAATTTTCTGGGAGAGTCTGGTTAGAGGTATAGACATGGGAGTTGTCAGCAGGCAGGCACTGGGATGAGACCACCAAAGGAAGGAGGTAGATAAAGATGGGGTCCCAGGACCGTTGTGGAATGCTCCAGTGATTCCAGTTTAGAGACTGAGTCCTCCTCAAACACTGCTGAATGCCACTACATGCCAGGCACTGTGCCGAGTGCTGGAGACGCAGTTGTGAAAGATCAAAAATCCATGCTGTCTTGGACCTACAGTGTAGTCAGGAGACAAAGGGAACGAGTAGGAAATGAAGCAGTGAGGGGAACAGGGAGCTCAGGTGGAGCAGATGGCAGCTTTCTAAGGGACGGCAGGCAAGCCTTGGGTGAGAAGACGGTTCTGTTCTGGAGAAGGGACTGGCACGGGTGCCCGAAAAATAGCTCCAGTGAAGTAAGAGAGGAACCAATAGGAGGTGGTGCCCTGGAGTCCAAAGGACAAAAATCAAGATGGAAGAAGCCATCTGTCAAAGGACAAAGTTGAAGAGCTGACCGCTGGGTTTAGCATTGGTGACCTTGACAAGAGCTGTTTTCACGGAGTGGTGGGAAAGAAAGCCCGACTGCAACCAAGGGATTCCTGCCCACAGTCACATTTTGAGAGGGGTACAACCCAGCCTTGGAGCTAGACCTTCTGAGACCAAGCCGGTTCTCATACCCATTTTAAATGCCACCTCTTCCAGGTAGTCCCCAGGTGTTAGGGTCTCCCATATTTGTCTTTCGCTCCATCTTCTCAGGTGGGAGGGATGTGCAGCCACAAGGGATCAGAAGCCCTGAGCTGCCAGGCTAACGTGGGTCTGAGCCTGCATCCTTTGCTGAGCTGAGAAGGGTTCCCATCCTGTCGGAGCTTATGGTCCATGTGCACAGGGAACAGGTGCTGTGTCGACCAGTAGGGACGAGCGAGGTCACTGCTGCAAAGGCTTTGGGAAGGGAGGCTATTTCCGACAGGATGGGAGGCTTCTTGAAGGGGCCTCGACAAGTGGAGGAACAGGCATGGATGCCATTCACTGACCCGAGAAGGCTCATTGAGCGTCTCCTCTCCTACGTGCCAGGCCCTGCAGGGACAGTAAGATGACAAAATTTACCATTCTTGTCCTCAAGGAAGTGCTTCGCTGCTGTGGCCTGGTAGTCGCATATGGATATAATCACCTGCCAGGGGTGGGAGGTCAGGAAGGCTTCACAGGGCTGAGGTTTTGAGCAGGGCCATGACGGAAGTAGAGGACTTTGCCAGACTGATGGGCTGCCAAGGCCGTAGACATGCAGGAACGCAGTCTGTTGGAAATGCCTGTTGGACCTGTGGTCCGAGACTAGATTGAGGTAGCAGGATGCGCGGCATGTAGGCTGTGTTTATCGTGGCTAGTGCCTTGTGGGCTCCAGGGGAAGGGAGAAAGAGACTCTAGGTGGGAAAGTTCCTTCCCTACATATGCCACCAGGTTTGGGGAATCCTGTTCTCTGTATTGTTGGTTGTGGGCACCTTTACTGACAGTCCCCGCCCCCTCCTCTTCCTCTGTAGTGGCCCAGCAGGAGAAGACCCCACCGCCGAGGCCCAGCCTGCTAGAGGCAGGCGGCGATGGCTGTGAGGAGCCCAGGCAGCAGGTGTCTTGGGAGCAGGAGTTCCTGGTGGGGAACAGCCCGGGAGGCAGCGGGCGGGCGCTGTGCATGGTGTGTGGGGCTGAGATCCGGGCCCCCTCGGCGGACACGGCACGCGCCCACATCCTGGAGCAGCACCCTCACACCCTGGACCTGAGCCCTTCCGAGAAGAACAATATCCTGGAGGCCTGGAGTGAGGGGGTGGCCATTTTGCAGGACTTCAGGGCCGAGCAGCTGTCCCCGCCCCATTCAGGTAGCTGGGCTAGGGGAGGGTCGGAGGGGGAAGGAAAAGTCAGGACTCTTGTTGCTCACTGGCATCTGCCCCCTTCAGACTCAGGCCAGGAGGTCGAAGTGGACCCAGACTCCGACCCGGACCCCGAAATGCCAGCAGAGATTGTCGTTCTCCTCGACTCCGAGGACAACCCCTCCCTTCCTAGAAGGAGCCGGCCCAGGGGACTCCGCCCTCTGGAGCTTCCTGGTCAGTCATCCCAAAGCCTCAGAGGCTGAGTTGGGAGGAGGGGAAGCATGGGCCCTGCCATCTGGGTGGAGAGAGGCTGCTGGGCAGGTACCTTCAGCAGCCCTGTGGTTACGGCAATCAGGCCTCTTAAAAAGGTCTTGTCTTTTGCAGCAGCCCCTGTCCCAGAGCCGGTAAGCAAGAAGCCACGTGGTCAGAGATGGAAGGAGCCCCCTGGGGACGAGCCGGTCAGAAAGAAAAGAGGCAGACCCATGACCAAAACCCTGGACCTGGACCCGGACCCGGACCCAGGTAAAGGCGAGGAAGGTGTGGGCTCCAGGAGGAAAGCTAGGACCCTGGGGGGTGCAGGGTGGGAGGATGCATGGCAGAGGGCACCTGCACCTCAGCTGAGGCCATGGGCTCAGCCCTTGGGAGTCTGGCCTCACAGTTCCATCCTGTCCTCCCTTCCAGATCCCCCCTCACCCAGCTCACCCACTGAGACTTTTGCGGCTCCCGCCGAGGTCCGACACTTCACCGACGGCAGCTTCCCTGCTGGCTTTGTTCTCCAGCTCTTCTCCCACACCCAGCTCAGGGCCTCAGACAGCAAGGACTCGCCCAGAGAGGGGAGAGTAGCAGAAGGAGGTCTTCTCCAGCCGGAAAGCCCCTCCCCAGGTGAGCTCGTGAGAGGGGCTGACAAATGCGGGGTCAGGAAGGCCGCATCCCTGGGGTCTGGCCTCCACGAGGCTGCTTGGCAGCAGAGCCCAGGCTAGAGGTGGCTGGTGCTCCAGTCCCCTGGGAGAGGGGCCGAGGGCAGGTGGATTTAAATACAGCAGCCAGCCAGAGAGCTGAGTTTTTTGCAAGCTCCTTGGGAGTGTCCTGGCTGGTTGTTAGGTTGGGTTAGGCCAGTGCTCCCCAAAGCCCGACACCCATCACCACAGTTAAGGTTGATTCCAGCTGGAGCCTGAAGTGCCCACCTTGGCCCCGGTGGACCAGGGGCCTAGATGGTACCGATAGCAGAATAGACGGGGCGAACACTCAGCAGACACCTCAGCTCAGTTTATGTCTAATAATAGCAGTAAGCACTTGTGTTTTTATCATGTTCTCCGATTTTAAGAAACTCTCATATGCAGCTCATCTGGCCCTTATAAAAGTATCTTTTCCAGATGGACCGACTGAGTCTCAGAGAGATGGTTCCTCCTCTACGGTACTTGTATTCATTTCCTGAGACTGCTGTAACAAACTACCACAAACTTTGTGACTTACAACAACACAGATCTACTTTTTAGTCTCGGAGGTCAGAGGACTGGAACGGGTCTCACTGGGCTACAATCAGGGTGTCAGCAGGGCTGAGTTCCTTTCTGGCTCCTAAAGGAGGAAGTCTTGCGTCTTCCAGCTTCTAGCAGCCGCCTGTGTTCCTTGGCTTGTGCCCTCCTTCCATCTTCAAAGCAGGCCGTGGCCAGTGCCGTCTTTCTCAGGATGCCATTTTTGGGTCTGACTCTTCTGCCTCCTCCTTCCCCTTTAAAGACCCTTGTGATTACACTGAGCCCACCCAGATCATCGAGATCTCTTTTATTTTAAAGTTGGCTGATTAACAATGTCAGTTGCATCTGTGGTCTTAATTCTCCCTTGCCGTGTAAGATACCTTATTCACAGGTCCTGGGGATTAGGACTTGAACGTCTTTGGGGGACTGGTATACTGCTACCACAGTCACGAAACCTAGCAGTAGCAGAATTGAGATGAGACTGGCCTGTGTTACAGCAGGGCAGGGCTGAGCCTGGTTCCTCTCTCTCCGTCTCGCCAGGCCAGGCCCTGCTTGCAGCATCTCAGATGCAAAAAATGGTTTTTCTTTTTTTTTCTTTGGCTGTGTTGGATCGTTGTTGCTGCACACGGGCTTTCTCTAGTTGTGGCAAGTGGGGGCTACTCTTCATTGTGGTGGCTTCTCTTGTTGCGGAGCACAGGCTCTAGGCGCGCGGGCTTCAGTAGTTGTGGCTCGCGGGCTCAGTAGTTGTGGCTCGTGGGCTCTAGAGTGCAGGCTCAGTAATTGTGGCACACAGGCCTAGTTGCTCCACCGCGTGTGGGATCTTCCCAGACCAGGGCTCGAACCCACGTCCCCTGCATTGGCAGGCAGACTCTTAACCACTGTGCCACCAGGGAAGCCCCAGAAAGTGATTCTTGAAGGAGTGAATGTGTGACACAGAGAGTGCCTCGTCCCGCCTGCCTGAAATGGGTGTTTGGAGTTGGAGCCCTGAGAAAGATGGCACACGGGGTGCTGGAGGCTCCCCAGAGCAGGGCTCTCAAAAAGGAGGTGTACTTTTTGCCTAAAGAAAAAGGCATACCTGTCACTTCAGCCCACATCACTCAGTGGTGACCACTGTCAAAAATTTGGCTTGCATCCTTCAGACCTTTTACAAAGCTCTGTGTGCACGTCTCTGCATGTGTGCTTTCATCTATTTATTTTTTACCACTTTTTCTAGTCTGGAGGCAGGTCTCACCCCTGTGAGGTTGTAACTGTCTCAGGTTTCAGCTTGAGTCACCTTCCAGTTCTGCTTCCCCAGGACCGTGCTCTGCCTGGACTTGAGTGTTTCCCGGGCCCCCTTTTATTGTCAGTGGACCCCTGCTCTAAATGGCTGATCTCTTCCACTGGCTGATGAGTCCTCTGGTTTCATTCTTGAAAGTGGGGCCTTTATTTTGACCCCTGGGATACCCTGTGCCCAAACCCCACCTGTGTGGAGTGACCAATAGGTGAGAAGGGCATCCTTGAGATCTCAGGTTTATTTGGGGTGAGTGGGCAAAGCCTGAGATTTGGGGTTCATCAAGCTGATTGAATGATGTGAGAGGGATGGAGGGGGCTGAGAGGTGTTCCCGGCAGAGGCAGGGACCTGTAGGGGTTGGAGACAGTCCAGAAACTGCAGGAGGTACTAAGTGACACAGCAGCAAGTGTTCCACAGCCCAGCTATGGGAAATGACAGGAGTGCCACAGCCTTTGTCCCCACGAAACTCACAGTCTGCCTAAGGGTACAAGTCAACAAATAGAGAATAGTGTGGTGCCCACGATGGTTCTGTGCAGAGCACAGGCTCCAGACCAGTGGTTTCAGGTTGGTTTGGGGTTTTAAGTACCCAAAGCTCAGATTTCTCAGAAACCTGTGAGGCTTCATCCTGAACGCCTCTCCTTCGAGTTGTTTTATTTATTGAAGCTCTCCAAAGATCTTATTTGAGTAAAGATCCTACCACTTTAAATCAAGGATATAAAAGTTGCGGGGCGGGGGGGTCACTGTGGTCAGGTCAGCTGACCTGATGGATATGTGTGTCAAGCAGTCAGGGACGACTTGCTGGACTTTCAGGGGCCTCCCAGGCTGAAGGCGGGGACCCGGCCAGGAGAGGAGGTGAGCCCTGAGGGCCCACTCGCACACAGTGGAAAAAAGCCTCCTGCTGTGGTGTGTGTGTGTGTGCAGATAGTGGAAAAAAGCCTCTTTGTCCTGCTGGGGTGTGTGTGTGTGTGTGTGTGTGTGTGTGAGAGAGAGAGAGAGTGTGTGAGATAGAGCACCTAGAACAGGGCCTGGGTGTGTGTCAGCACCTAGAACGGGGCCTGGGGGTGTGTGTGTGTGTCAGCACCTAGAACAGGGCCTCTGTGTGTGTGAGCACCTAGAACAGGGCCTGGCACCAAGAAAGCCCTCAGGGAAGATTTTTTGACAGATGAGTGGATGGCGGCTGCCTTCACTTGTCATCCTGGTGGTGACATTTCCAGAGTCTCTGCTCAGAGACAAGCCTTAGTGAGAAACGAGAGAAGTGGGCCCCAGCCACCCCCTGGGGAAGGTGTACACATTTACACACACGTGCATGAGTGTGGAGGAAGGGAGGGGATGAAGCTGGGGAAGCAGAGCAGTTTGGGCCAGGAGAGAAGCAGGGGTGGTTCTGGGGTTGGGGTGCTGCAGCTTGTCCCGGGGACAGAGGAGTCCTCTCGGCTTGCTCTCTGATGGCCTGGGGCTCTGCTCATGCACTGCTTCTGAAAGAAAATCTCTCTCCTGCACCTCAGGCCTCGCTCTTCTGAAACACCCCTCCCCACCACCCACCCCTTTGCCCTCCCTGCTATCAGGAAGAATTGGCACTTAATTCCAATGTACTGAGTTCTTTTAATGTATTTTTTTCTGAAATCCACAGGACCACCTTATAAAGGATTATTATGTCCACTTTACAGAAGAGGAAACTGAGCCTTGGGCAGGTGTGTTTCACCCATGCAACACCCCGCCTGCAGTGAGGGCCAGGAATCAGTTCTCTGTCAGACCAGGAGCTGTTCTTTCCTCTGGGTCCTCCATATCAGCCTACGCAAAGCTGTTGTTTCTTCATTCTTGACCCCTCATCCCATCGTAGCCACTGTCCCATTTATCCCCAAGCCTTTTCAGCAAAGCTGGAGAGCTCTTCTTTACTGTCTCCAGTCTGTCTTTAGAAGCCACTTGAGTCAAACTCATGCTCACCACCCGACACTAAAATGGCTTTTTTGGCAACATTGCCATTGACTTCCATAAAGTTAGATCTGGTGGTCAGTTCTCAGTCTTTATCTTTCCTGACCTGGCAAAAACAAGGAACCCCTCCCTCCTTCCCTCCTTCCCTCCTTCCTGGAGACCCTTTCTGCCCTTGGCCTCTCGGGCAGCAGCATGCCTGGGTTGCACCTGCCTCTCTTGCTTGTTCTTTCCTAGCTCCCCAAGTGGGATCCTATGGTTGTTTTTCTTCCCGTTTCTAGAACATATGTTCCTGTGGGTCAGGATGTTTGCCTGTTACATTTACTGTGATATCCCCAGTGCCCAGCACAGAATAGGTGCTGCTTCTGTATTTGGTGGATGAATGAATGACCCAACCGTGGGTCAGGGTCTGCACTCATGCCCTGGGTGATCCCGTCCAGGCTCACAACTTGAAGGACAGTTCCTGTGCTCACAGTCCCGCCTTTCTCCTCCACCCCAGGCCTCTCCCTTCAGATCCAGCCTCTCTCTTACCCATATGATGTGTCTGATTGGTTGCCTAAAAGATCCCCCAAACTCGGAGTTTCTGACGGCGTTTCTGAATGGCACCCCCCGTCTCCTCCCCTCCCCTCCAGCCACTCTATTCGCCCCTAGTCCTCCCTCCCCAGGGAGCTGGCAGCCCCGTTCTTCAGTTTGCTTGGCCCAGACCCTCAGAGTCATCATCTTCTGTCTCTCTCAGACCCCACATCCGTCCATCAGCAAATCCTGTTAGCCCCACCTCCAAGATGCTCAGAATTGACGCCCCTGTCACTACCCCTACTGCTGCTACTTTCATCCAAGCTTCCTTAACAACCTTTGAACTTGTCTCCTAGCTTCTGATCTTTGCCCTCTGTGGTCGGTCTCATACAGCAGCCAGAGCCCCTGTTGAAACACAAGTGGGATCCTGGCACTGCTCTGCTCAGAGCCCTCCAGCACCATCGCTGTCGCACTTCAGATAAAAGTCAGAGTCCTCGTGGAGACCGGTGGTCCTCAAACCAGGATCTTCACCTCTTCTGCCCAGCAGGGCATCTGCCTTTGCTCTTCCTCCCGTCAGGAATGCTGTTCCCCAGCCAGACACGCCGCTGACTCCTCGCTTCCTGTGTTTTGCTCACGCGTCAGCTCTGTGAGGCCCTCCCTGCTACCCCGTCCCCTTCCCTGGTGTACTTTTTTACTTTGCTTCTGTCTGTATATATCACATTGCATTCTTGCTTTGTTCATCCTGTTTATTGGCTCTCACCACTGGAATGTAAATTCCAGGAAGGCCACTTGGCCTGCTCCATGTTCTGGGGAACCCCCAGCAACTGGACTAGTGTTGGGCACAGTATAGTTGCCCAGTAAGTTATTGTTGAATTAAGGAGCCAGTGAGTAGGCTCCACCTGCCCTCAAGGAGCTTAGAGTTTGTCAGGGAGACAAACCAGCTCATGTGACTACAAAGCAGAATTTGTTCAGTCGCACGACCCAATGGCAGCCATTGAGTCATTTTAAATCCCGGCAAACAGTACAGCAAAATTGTACCTGTTTTCTCTGCCAGATTTTAAATCAGTGGGTCTCTAGAAACAGTGCAGAAGAAAACCACAAATAATACAGACACCGCAACAGTTACAATCACCGTTTTCTGGCTTTGTTTTTTGATGTAACTTTTGCACGTGCCCATGCTGCACCGGA